CCCCCCCCCCCCCCCCCCCCCCCCCCGCAGCCACAGCGTGCCTGTGGCCACGCTCCCACACTCTCAGCAACAATGGCGTGACCTGTTTTCAAGCTGACAGTTTGAGAGGCAAAAGCATCTTTCACTGCTTTATCTGCACAGCCCTGACTATGACATACACTGCTTCTAAGCTCCTGCTCCTGCTCACTGGATCGCTGTTTCACTTCCTCCTCCTTCTCCTCCTCCTCTTCTAAGCTCCTGCTCCTGCTCACTGGATCGCTGTTTCACTTCCTCCTCCTCCTCCTCTTTTCTTTGGGACAGGGTTTCTTTTTGAGACAGTGTAGCCCTGGTTGTCCTGGACTTGGTTTTTAGACCAGCAGGCTGGCCTCGAACTCACGGGATTCCACCTGCCTCTGCTTCCCTGAGTGCTGGGATTACCGGCCGCCACTGCGCCCACCTTCTTCCTTTTCTAGAGTTTCTAAGTTCTGTATTTAGAGAGAAAGCGGTGTGTAGACATGGGAACGTACACACGTGCACGTGTAGTGTGAAGCCGGAGCCACAGTTCTGCCCATGCTAGGCGGGTGCTCTCCGGGTGAGCCACGCTTGGAGCCCTTCAGTGGGGTTCCAGGCAGGGCTCTACCACTGAGCCAGGGTCCAGCTCCTCACGGGGGGATTCTAAGCAAGGGCTCCATTGCTGAGCTCCATTTGGAGCTTGATGGTTGCTGTTTTTGGACATTTATTCATTTGACTGTTAAAGCTGGTGGTGCCTATTTTTTGTCCCTCTAACGTTTGTGTTCTAAGATAAATCATAATGTCTTCTCATTTTCCTCCTCACATTTAAAGACACCGTGCTGCTTCCTTCTCAGAGAAGGAAACAAAAAAAGAAAGGCAAACTTTGGTATAACCTTTTTTGGTATCTTTTAGAATTTGAAGGTTCTTACAGTTCTTACCTTCATTTCGGCAGAACTAAGTCCCTCACCCCATTATTGTTCCAAATGAGATGTCAGCTCTTGACAGTTTGGTGATTTACAAGTGTTTGTTGGAAAGAACAGGAAGGATGGCTGGGGCAGGGAGGGAGAAGGAAGGAGAGCCACCCACATCCACATTAGCAACTCAATGCAGTGATTAATGCAGCCTGCGGCCCAGGCTTCAGTTCTGTGGGCTCAAGGCCCCTGACTGCAGGGTCCCCAGGAGCAACAGAGGAGCTGAGAGCAGGCCAGGAGAGGCCGATGCTCGTCCACTTCTCGCTTCCCTTGTGGCTGCAAATAGGATGGAGAGTATCGAACCTGTTTGCAAAGTCTGGAGTTTGTGCTCGGCTTCCTCCAGCTTTGAGGTGGTGGACATCTGTGTCTCTTGCAGCTTTCTGGGAAAAAAAAAAGGAAGAGACAATGGAGCCAAATTGGTCATTTTGTTTTGACTACTGAGATGGCTGTGAGCCCCGAGCCCACTGACAAGCACTGTCCCCGAAGGCCTCACAACGCAGCTTGAGTGTGTACCTCAGGGTGCAGTGAAGGCACATTGTACAGCATGGGGCGTGGCCCCGTGGGACCTGCAAGCGTAGCACTGGGTGCGGAAGGTTCTCCGCTACAGAATTTGTTCCGAGACGGCAGATATTAAAACAAAATGAACAGCATCATCACATGCACATTGTTCTCTGAAGTTGGGGAGAAGAATGATACATTTACATTCTGCTGACACAGAGAAGGAATTTGTTGGCATAAAGGATGTCCTAAACAGATGTGACAGCTGTGCTTTCCTCTAAAGCGGAGCGTGAGTGCTGCCACAGTGGGTGGGGGCGGGGGTTCTGAAGATCAGAAAGCAGTTTACTATTCCCGTGGCCTCAAAATACAGTTCCCAGCCAAGAAACGGCATGCTCTCCTCTGCATCGGCACAGACAATAACTAAAAATAAGTTCATTATTTTTATATCATATGAATATAACATATGCTCAGCACAATAAACCTGGGGCACAAAAAAGGGGAACGACAGCTTTAAACTAAAACCAGCCACACACTGTCGCCTATAGAAAAGCTTTGTTACTATTTTCACGTCTGTCTCTTATAAGACGGGATGTGTGCTGGCTGGAGGGATGGCTCCGTGGTTAAGAGCACTTCTCTTGCGGAGGGCCAGAGCTCATTTCCAGCACCCACAGCAGGCTGCTAAAAAGTGCAGATAACTAGCTCTAGGGGCTCAGTGCCCCCTCTGTCCTCCCCAGCGACCTGTGCTTGCCGCACACCCACACAAACACATTCACACAATTCCAAACAACTCTCAGGGAAATCACACTTCAAAAACTGTGTCGTGTCTGTGTGTGCATGCATGTTAGGTACCTGTGCGCTGGAGTGGAATTAGGGGCCACGTCTGTCCTCCTCCATTGCCTCTTTACCCTGAGCTTGCGGATGCCTGATGGATCGGCTGGGGAGGGGTCCTGGCCATCAGTCACCTGCTTCCACTCCCCAGTCTGGAATCACAGAGTCTAGCTTTCCCAGGGAACCGGAAGTCTGAACCTCAAGCACTTTACCCCACCTGTCGATCCCTAGAGTCTTGTGTCCTTTTGTTTTTGAGAGAGTCTCTCCAAACAGCCCTGGCTGTCCTGGAACTCACGATGTACAGCACGCTAGCCTTCACCCACCAGCCTCTACCTGGGATTAATGCTGGCTCCCCAAGGTTTTCCAAAAACAAGTTTTAAAGGAGGCTAGGAAGCACAGTCCTTTTCACTCTTTCCACTTTTCAGAGTTGCCTTGTACTTTTCTGAACATAGTGTGTGTAAGTAACTACAAGGCACACACTCCTACACGACATACAACACACGTAAACTAATATGCAATACACTAGCACACACCAGACCAACAAGTATAGTGCTGCAGAGTAACGTGTAACATGCATGTAACAGTAACGTGGAACAGTGTGTACAAGTTAAACTAAAATATAACACTCTGTGGTTCAATCTTAATTTCTTTTCTCCCTTCTCAAGAGGGGAGGGTTGGGCTCCCTGAAGCCAAGGCTGGACTCCAACGCTAGCCTCAGTCCCTGTGTGCTGGGTCAGGAGCGTGGCCCTGCAGTACTCTTTTCTCCCACGAGCATGCGTGGTGGTGTGCCAACCCCTGAGGCCCGTGTTTGGAAGTGCTCTGCTCCAGCACACTCTGCCACCTCTCTTTCTCAGTAGCCAGCTGAACCCCAACACCTCAGATACCTGGACGGTTTAGTTTCTTTGTGCTTAACAATTTGTTAACTATGGTTTTGCCTATTTAGAGAGTGAATCTGTTGAACAAAATTTTATCTGCGCAATTTCAGTGGTCACAGGCTATACGTAATTTTTTTCTTTTTATTTTTTTGGATAGATATTGGGGAGCTCCCCAGTTAAAAATCCTCTAATTTAAACTGCTGCCAACATATTTTTGTAAACCCTGCCAACACTGGATAAAATCAAATTCAGTATTTATTGCTGTCTCTTTGTATGCTCAAACACTGGACTCTGCCCGCTTTCAGGTTTTGCTACTGTCTGGTGTTGGGTTCGGGTCCCGTGCAGTCAAAGCTGGTCAGATCTCCCTGCCTATGCCTCCTCAACGAGGGGGCTACTGGCGCACACCACACTCCAGGCAACTGGAGCTGATCCTCCCTTTTAATTAATTTATAAAAGCTCTGTGCGCATACGGAACATTCACCTTGGGCAAACGAGCGCTGCTACTCTTAAAAAGACCTGGGTTCCGTCCCAGCACCCGCCTTGGGCAGCTCGGCACCCTCGGTGACGCCCTCTCTGGCCTCCACAGGCCCTGCACGCACACAGCGCACATCTGACTCAGACAGGCTCACACACAAATCAAAGAATACGCATTAAAAAGACATTTTAGGCTGGGGTGGCTCAGTGATAAAGAACACAGGCTGCTCTCCCCGAGGACCCGGGTCTCCAGGGCATCGGACGCCCTTCCCTGGACTTTCCAGGCACATGTACTCACGGGTACTGATTCACATAGAAAGACACACATTATTAAAAATAAAAGAAAGGAAAAAAGAAAAGTCACGCATTAGATTATGCAGTGTACTTTTTTTCTCTGTTGATAGTATAAAAACTTTATGGTTACTGTTTTTTTTAAATCTTGGATGGTCATGTTGATATAATTTTTCAGATATAATTATAAAGATTTTTACACTTTAAAATTATTATAAAAATAAGTATCAAAGTTTTTTTTCATTATATATAATGAACTGGTTAGTATTTAAACCCCAAGTCCGGCCTAGCTTTTAAAAATATTTCCATGTGTGTACAGTGCGCAGTTTGTGTGTGCTGTGTGTGTGTGAAGGCCAAAAGCTGAAGTTAGGCCGAGCATCTCCTTTGGTCACTTTCCACCGTATTTACTGAGCAAGCTAAACTAAACCCAGAGCGTGCCAATTCTGACTGACCCTGTTGTCACCTTCTCCCCAGGGGCTCTGTCCCTGCCTCCCAGTGCTGGGACTCCAAGTCACTGCTACACATGCCTTTAGGTGAGGGCTGGAGAGCCAGAGCATAGTGAGCAACTGATACACTAGAGCATCTCCTCAGTCTTTTAATTAGGTTTTTTTTTTTTTTTTTTTCTTAAGACAGGGTCTCACTGTGTAGCCTGAAATTCCCTATGTGGACCAGGCTGGCCTTGAACTCACAAGGATCCTCCTGCCTATGCCTCTTGAGTGCTGGGATTAAAGGTGTGTATGACACCTTTAATACTTTGAGAAATATTAGATCTTGCTAAGTTTTATCTATAAAGTGGAGATGGCCATACTGATCATAATAATTAAGAAATGAGGACTCTTAGAAATTGTCACAATTACAGTAGCATCTTACTCTGCTTAAACAACGACAACTATTATGAGGCTTCTTTTTCTTAAAGGTGTTCTAAATTGCCGTGTCTCCAGTTTGGGTAGGAAATGAGGCCTTCCTTCCTTCCTTCCTTCCTTCCTTCCTTCCTTCCTTCCTTCCT